TTCAAGAGCTAGAAACCTTAGGCCTGGAAATTTCTCACATGTGGGTTTCTCTGTTCTTCTAAGTGACAGCTGAGCAGGCTTCTCTACCTGTTCACCGAATTTCAGAATCAGCAAATCTCAGGCTTACCTGCTCTTCCCTTTTGCATTGGAAAAGAGTCTAGCCACTGAGAAGTACCACTGAAAAATAATAAGAAAGATCTCCTTGAAGTGGCACGACCTTGTTGATGTTTCAGGAAAGGCCACTTCTGCTTTCTTGCTTCATGTTGAATTACTTTTGTAAAGAAACGCCCATTACTTGGTATCCATATCATTATTGAGTATAGTTTCTGGCAGAAATGGTCAGTTAATAAGTGGCAGGTATCGTGGGAGGGTTGATTATTACAGCTACCACTTATTGTACACTATGTTCCAGGCATTGGTCTGAGCACTATGTTTATTTTAGTTCATTTACTTCTCACATCAACCTTAAATGATTATAAGGAATATCATTATCCCCCATTTTACAGATGAAGCCCAAAAGATTGGATATTCTTATTGTTGCAAGCTGACATAATTATTTGTAATATTTCAGTAATTTCAGTATTTTTCTTTGGAAATAACTTCCCTTCTTTGGACTAAAGGATGTTTCCTTTCTCACCCACCCTCAACCCCACCCAAGGCCTTTTAGTCATAAGCACTCCTTAAAAAGTACTTCAAATTTTTTTTATTTCTCTATTGTGGACTCCAGAATTAAAATGAATTGATTCCATTCTTGTGTTCATCTATGCTAATCCATGGCTGTATTTCCGAGCATACTACCTGCCAGATACTGGAAGCTATTCAAAGATATTACAAAGACAGAATTTTTGCCTTTTGAGATCCTCCCAAAGAGAAACCCATAAATGCCCAACACAAAAATAAGACATGAACAAAATACTAAGGGAGCCAAGAGGAAAGAGTAACCAACTCTGCCAGGGTCAAGAAGGAAAAGGCATTTAAACTGAGTTTTGACGAGAAATGAGAGATAGGGAAAGAGGAGAAAGTACTCTGGTCAAAGGAAATAGTCTCAAACGAAAGTCACACACTTCTGTACTTATTCATTTCTGCAACATATATTTCAGAGACGGTATGTGCCAATTACAGCAATAGGTACTGGAGATCCAACAATGAACATAAGATACAAGGTGATGGCCCTTGTGGACCAGTATCTTAATGAGGCAGCTGATTTCCAAAGACAGCCACCTTCAGTTCCTTCCCTTATGATATGCACGTGCCACTCCTTGTTTCTCCTATCAGAAGGTAGAGCTTATATCTCCTCCCCTGGAATTTAGTCTGTGACTGCTTTGGCCAATGGAATACAGGTGAAGTGACATTCTGGTATGTCCAAGTTCAGGTACTAAAAAGGCCTGGGAGTTCCCACTTCCTCCCTTTTGGAGCCCTGAGCTGCCACAAAAGGAGTTCAGGTTCTCATTCTAGAAGAGAGACCATATAGAAGGATATTAAGGTACCATATATCCAATTCCATGCCACCTTCTCACTGTACCTGCATAACAGAGACTATTCCAATTATCCTACTCCTGCTTAATAATTACTCAAAAACACAGTGGATCAAAACAATAAGATTTACTTTGCTCATGCATCTTCAATTTGGGCAGAACTCAGCATCTCCGTGTTATGCTGCACATGGCATCAGCTGGAACGAACTTAACTGAAGGCTAGAGGACTCACATCCAAGCTGGCTCACTCACAGTGTGGCAAGTTAGTGCTAGCTATCAGCTGGAGTCTCAGGCAGGACTGAGGCTTCATACGGCCTGGGCTGCCTCAGGGAATGGTGTCTGGGTTCCAAGTGCAAGTATCCCAGGAGACAGCCAGGGGAAGCTGCATCATCTTTTATGACCTAGCCTCAAATTCACATAGCATGTCTTCTGCCATTCTCTATTAGTTGAGCCCTTCACAATGGCCCACCCAGCTCAAGAGAAGGTAATAGATTCCACCATTTGATCCTGGCATGGCAAGAGTCTCTGGTTTGGGGTTTTTTTGTTTGTTTGGTTGGTTTGTTTTGTTTTGGTACTTTTGAGACAGAGTCTTGCTCTGCCACCCTGGCTAGACTGCAGTAGTGTCATCGTAGCTCACTGCAACCTCAAACTCCTGGACTCAAGTGATCCTAATGCCTCAGCCTCCAGAGTAGCTGGGACTACAGGTGCACACCACCACTCGTGGTTAATTTTTCTATTTTCTGTAGAAACAGGGTCTCACTCTTGCTTAGGCTGGTCTTGAACTCCTGAGCTCAAGCTATCCTCCTGCCTCGGCCTCCCAGAGTGCCAGGATTACAGGTGTGAGCCACCATGCCTGGCCAAGATTCTTGATGAACATATAGAATGAGAAATATTGTCATGGACATTTTTATCCACAGAGTCCAAGCAAGGCCAGTAAAAGAACTGACCTGCTATGCCCCAGTCAACCCATGGAATCATGAGATATAAAAAAATGAAAGTTATTTTAAGGCACTGAGTTGGGGTTATTTGTAAATAGAACAAACAGACCATCTGATTGCTAAGACACATTAAAAAAGTATGCACACACATGTATGGGCAGGAATGATCAGGTTCTGAAAAACACATTTGAAAAGAAATTTAACAGAATGATGGGAAAGAAAGGGATTGAGGTCTACTCTAGATTGAACAATTAAAAAAAGGCCTTTCTTATAATTTTTTATGGTTTGAAATTTTTGCAATGAGAATAGATTAATAGGTAATTTCAAAAACAAGAACTTTTTTAATGTAAGCAGATGGAATTAGATTAATGTAGAAAATAGAACAGAGAAAAATCCCGCCCTAAAATAGAACTTGCATAGGAGTTTACACAGGTAAAAGAACACATTCCCCAAACAGCCTTAAAGAATCTCCAAGCTCTGAGTTAACAAGGCAAAGAATGGAAACAGAGAATGGAGCAATCCTGTGGGAACTTAAAGGCTGGCCCGTGTGGGTGGGTCAGGCCCTCAGGGCGGTTGCTTTAAAGGTCATTATGCAAGACAAAAATTATCTAGGGTCATTATTGGCCTTGAAAATACCTTCAATCACTGTGAGACTACAGATATACTGCCTCTTGTGACACTTTTTTCTCTAGCATTGGAGCAGATCCTAATTTTTCACATAAGCACCAGATAAAGCTCTCCATTTGCATTGAGAGTACACACTGTACAAAAACAATATATACCTTTAAACATTTAATCACACTCAGCCTGATGAGATGCTCAACTCCGAGTGGCATATGGGAACTGAAGCACATTGAAGAAACTACAAATTCGCAATACTTGCTCTCACTCGTTGCCAGTGAGCAGACAGGAGGGTTCTTTGCTGTGCTGCTTTTAGTGCTGCACTGTTCTCTTCTCTTCTCTCCCCTTCTCTCTCCCCCCACCTCTTGATAGTTGATATCAAAAACACTAAATGTACATGTGTCCTTACTCCTCTGTGCAGTGCTGCTGGCTGTTGCATTTGCCTCCAGGACAGTCCCGATAAAAGTCTTCTAAACAAAGTCTGGGGGAAAGCTTGAGTGTAGAAATTAGGACCAAAAGGAGAACTCCATAAATTCAAAATAAACGTGAAAAGAAAAGCAAAGGACAACAATGTGGAGACACATCATTCCAATGCCTACAATGAAGCCATCTCAGTTTTGGATTTCTTAGCCTGCTTGTCATACATATGGTCATAGATCCACAACACAGTACTATGTAATGCAGATGTCAAAAGAGTTTATGTGTGAAAAAAATTATAAGCAGAGAAGTAACGTACTGTTCTCCAGACATCTCATTAGCCAACAACTTAGGCCAGGTGAACGTGGCCAACTTTCTAATAGAGTGGGACTCTGACCCCATAATGTTCCACAGTGTTATGGGGTCAGGGAAAGGAAACAGCTACTAGACTTTGTTAATACAGACTCTCTGGTCAATGAAGAGGCCTTGTTGGAAGAAATTGGGGGAGCTCATCTCAACGGGACGAGTGTCTGGTCTCAGCCTATTGAGCTCACTCAGACCTGCTGAGTCAGCTCTTTGCTAAATTATCAAAAGGAAATGAGACTCCAGGTCCACCCAAATTTGTCTCAGCTCACTGTTTTTTGTTTGTGTATGGTAGAAGGCAATGTGCCTACTGTGGAAAGAGACTTCCAGGTGGTACCTGTGCATGACACCTTTGGTAACCAACCTAGTCCTCCTTTCGTGAACATGTAGTCACTATACCAGATAGTTGAAGATATGAGAACACAAATGATATAACCAAAAATCAATAGTATAGGAAATAGATGAGAATTTTTTTAAATTTTCTAATTATGATAAGATAGTGAACCCATGAAATAAAAATAGGCTACTAAGAAAAAGAAGCACTCAGAGAACAAAAAGGGGGTCTTTAACATTATAATGTGATTTCCAAAACAAGATATTGAATAGAAGGGCTTGGTAATAGAGTGAGGACAAAATTAAAGTTTTAAATAAGCAAGAAATAAAAATGGTTAATATTTACATACCATTTTTTAAAAATGATTCAAGAATATATCCCAGCGAAAGAAAAAAATGAATCTAAGAAAGAGAAAGACATGAGACACCTGGAATAGTAGTGAGATACACACACAAAAAAACCATACAACTTATGATTGAATGCATATGATTCTTACAGCAATTATTAAAACATTTCTTAAATAGTAGGAGTGTAATGTAAGATACAGTAACAATCTCAAATTTATTTATGGAAAACCAAAAAGGGACAGGAGGTTAAGTTTAAATTTGCTAAAGATCTTGCCTTGTTCAGATGATAGGCTATAAATATTGTTTAATGCTTCGTGTTACATATACGTAAATGTTTGAAAAATACTTGTATTAACAAATAGAAAAATAAAAATAATATGTTGCTTCAGCTATCTCTTGTTACTTCAGTATCTATTGCTGTAACTTAAAACACCAAGAATCATTTTCTCATCTCTCAGGGTTTGGGGAATGACTGGGTACAACTAGGCATGAAGGCTTCACTTACACATCTAGTAGTTGATGCTGACTCTCTGATGAAACCTCAGCTGGAGCAGTTACCCAGCAGAACTCCTAGACATAATCGTTCCATGGAGCCTGGGCTTCCTGACAGCATGGTGGCTGGGTTCCAGTGGCAAGTATCTTAAGAGAGAGAAAGAGAGAGAACAAACTAACAAAATTTTGTAAATATAGTTTCCAAATATAACATGATAAATTGGTAAGAAATCAAATGCCATAAATGACAGTAAGTCAGCAGGTGTTCCCACGTCTATAACCATACTTTCCCATGATGATCCTGTGGTTCTCAAACCTGCCTGCACACTGGCACCACCTGGGGAGTTTCAATAACAACCGATGCCTGGGTTCCAGCCCCCAAAATTATAATTTACTTGATGTGGGGTGTGGTCCGGGCATTGGGAGTTCCAAAAATTCCCAAGTGTTTCCTATATACAGCCAAGATTGAGAACCACTGATCTATAACAAGGAAATTGAATCATAGATGACTACACATTTCCCCTACTCTTAAAGGACAATCAACCTATACATAAGTTTGAATACCAATTCTTGCCTTCTCATGGACTCAGTGGGAGTCGTGACTGCTGAAGAAAAGCAGATACAGCCCTCCAGCCCCTTCCAGCCATAGTTTCCACTGAACAGGCACTGCCTTATGGTGCATTGGCTTCCCATCCCCAACATATTTCACAGCAATTGTAACAACAGTATGGATTAAAGTGATATGCCTTGAATGTTATTATCCATTTCCCCATATCTTGACATTTGAGATGTAACCACAGACTTCGTATCCCCTTGGACTGGTTGAAGGGGGAGATTCTGATTAACGTCCTTTCAACTCCCATACAGAACACATGGCTTGTATTAGAGACAAGATGAATGAATTGATACATTGGGAACAGCCTTCACATTAGAGGAACATGACTTACTAAAGCCAGGAATGTCCTAATGATTAAATCTATCCATGTATGTGAATCGACAGTATCTCCTTCAGAGAGAAGCTCTTTTAAATGAGTTGTGTTCGCTAGCAAACCAGGTCCACCAGCAAAGCAAAGATCTTCCTCATCACTGAACAGAAATCATCATTCATTGACGTAACTGTAAACACTAGAAATTTCATGGGCTGACAGTGCAAAAATACATATACCTCATTCTCTGCTCTGATCACTTAAATTTACTCTCCTTCAAATATTTAGCTTAGAAATACAAAAATTTTTGTGATGGTATTTGGAGGTTAAAAAAAAAAGGAAATACAAAATTTTTTGCCAAAATTTGTGTTTTTACTTGTGTTAAGGTTGCCAGGTAAAATCCAGAACACCCAATTAAATTTAAATTCCAGATAATCCATAAACAATTTTTAGTATAAGTATGTCCCAAATATTACATGGGACACACTTATACTAAAAATATATTTGTGGTTTATTTAAAATTCAAATTTAAATGCGTGTCCTATATTTGTATTTGCTAACTCTGGCAGTGCTAACTACTGCAAACTTCTATATGCTAGAATCACATTCTTCAGTTTTAGGGACTTTTGTTTGTTGGGTGTTTGGTCAGAAGACATGGTCTTATCACTAAATCAATGTATTAAATTTCCCTGCTAATAAAAATAAAATAAAATAAAAATCTTTCTATAGAGAGACAGTACCAACAAGTTAACCTCAATCTGACATGAATAAAAACCGTTTCTAAGTGGTTATAGTTTCTAAAACAGAACTCCATCTACAATAAATGTAATTATTTCACTAAAATTGTTTGCATGTGTTTCTTTTCTGTACTGGGCCTTGTTCCTGCACCATCTTAGTTGCCTTCATCCGTTACTTTGCAGACCTTTCTTTGCCCATATCTTTGATTTAAATTTATCATGACACATTTTTAAACAATAGCAGGAAACCTCACTTATGACTTTAATTATAAAATGGTGTTATAAAATTATATCCACATTTTACTTTTGGCAGGCAGCAGTCCTCATTTAACATGAATATCTCAAGTAAGGCCCCTGCAATTCTCTTTTGTCGGTTTCAGTGCTTACTGTATGTAATTGATATAAAAACACGAGGTTTAGGAAGCAGTTATTGGAACTTGTTAAAAGAAGTAGCCACATTCATAAATACTTTCATTTTGCTGTATAACATGCCAAGAGAATTAATAACACACTAGGGGAATATGGAAGAACTTCTGACTTTTTAAAGAAAAACTGATATATTCTGCTCTCATGTTAATTGTTTGACTATAAGGTCTATATTTGCTTCTCTTCAAATCCCAACTGTGTCTAATTAAAAGAAAAAGGAAGTGAACTAGATAAATATGCATGCATCTCTATAAATACCTGTTAGACTTGAGTAATTCTATTGTCCTTTATTCGTGAAGAGAAATAGAAATGTGTCAGTTCTCTAATAAGTCTATCAGAAAAAACCACAATAAAATAAATTTTGAAAGCCATCATTGGAAACCTCACATTCAATGCTGCCTGGGATAATTTCAATAAATTCTAAAGTAGAAATTTTAAAAATAAAAGCTAGTGATTCTTTTACATTAATGTAGGCTAATTATCTCTCATTCCTCTGGCATGAGGAATGAGATAAATGAACTTCTTAACTTAAAACCACTACTTTGTTTGCATTCATCATTTACATACTACCAAAAATACATTTCACTTAGTAAAGAACAAATAAGTAGAGGAAAATATAAAAGACAATAAATTCCATAAATTGTATTTCTAGTCCTAATGGAGGGGAGAAATATTCATAGTCCTTCACCATTTATTTTTAAAATACCTATATTATACTTTGACAATTGATATAAACTAATAATGTATGTGCTTGGGAACCTGAGAAATGTGTCTCAGAAAAGAGACATCTCTGTGACTAGCAATAGCATGAATCAGATTTTTGGGAACTATGAAGTTTCTCCAAGATATGGCCCCAACTTTCAAGTTGGTCACCATCTCACTTGAGGAATACAAGTAGGAAATGATAAAGTGCTAAGTGGCATTTTACTAACTCTAATAACAATGAAGACCAGAAATGGGAGAAAGTGGTATAACTTGGAAGGGTCTTGAGACTTAAATAATATTTAGAGAAATGTAGATTAGATAATGTATTAATAGCACACATGGAGATTGGCCAGTGGGGATAATATAACCACTGATGATTACCAAAAAAGCAAGGAACAAAAAAGTGAAAACTGATGCTAAAAATGGACTTGGTCATATACAGTACAGGCAGGCCATCTTTAGATAAAGAAAATTTCAAGGGGAGGAGAATATAAACCAGAAAACTCAGGGGAATCACATTAACTACCGACTTCCAGAAATGGAATGACCAAAAAAAGACAATTTAGTCTTGGAACCACCAAAGTATATGACAAAAAATCCAATACCCCCTAAATGACCCTGAAGATGTGTTTGCTCTGCTTCTCTCTCTAGTTACACTTTATCACCTCTTTTGACACAGGCACCTGTGGCCTCAAGGCCACATGTGGCTCTCCAGATCCCCAAGTGTGGCCCCCCGACCAAATCCAAACTTCACAGAACAAATCCCTTTATTAAAAGAATTTGTTCCATAATATTTGGATGCAGTCAAAAGGCTGCACTCAAGGATCCAGAAGGCCACATGTGGCCCCAAGGCCACAGGTTCCCTACGCCTGCACCACTGGGCTAATAGTAGCCTCTCTAATAAATTTTTTACTTACACTGTTAATAGCAGCTGCCACTTTAAATACATAATCAGCTTTTGGCCTAGAGAAGTGTCAAGGAAGCTTGTCTTTTCCCAAAATGTTAGGTGAAATAAAATAGAATTGTCCCATAAGAAATTAAATGTCGAGTCCGAGCAATTCTAGAGTTTATACTATTCAAATGAAGTCAGGATTCCAGGCTGACTGGACAACCTAAAAATTCCAAGGGCATTAGGCAGAGCCAAAACAAAACTCTTATGCACATATACACACATGTAAAACATTTCTAAACCCTGATGAAAATAAACTCACATTCAAAAATTATATACCACATGAGCAAACAATTCACCGTCAGAGAAAGTCAGCAGATACAGCAAACTGGAATATGTATCATACTAAGAATTTGAGGTATCAGAGATAATAATCTGAGAAAGATTATTATCTTTATTAAATTATTATCAGATTATTATCTTTTTTTTAATAAAGAGCTAAAAAAATGGAAACTATACTGAAAAAACAGAATGCTCTGGGGGGAAAATAGCTGAAAGATTTAGAGAAAGAACCAATGACATTGAAATTAAATCTCAACAGCTGGGTTAAAATACATATTAAATTTAAAAACAAATTAGTATTATAGAAGATAGAATTATTTCAAGACAAATAAATAAAAATAAGAGGTGTGGAAATATAGAGCAGAAAGAAGATTTTATAAAAATGAGAAGATTACATAAAACTGGAAGTCCAAAAAAATAAAAGAGGTGATATTTGAGAAGATAATGGCTGAGAATTTGCCAAAATTGATGAAAAATATGACTCCTTAGTTTAAAGCAGCACAAAATTTTTAAGCATAAAAAACAGAAATTCACAGCTAAATTTTTTAATCTATAAGTATAAAAAATAAAAATAAATTGAAGGCATTTTTCATTGTCTTCTGATACCTGTTGTTGCCATGGAAAATCTGATTGTTATTTGTAGTTAATTTAAGTGTAATCCCCAAATCCATGGAAATAGAATCTATAATTTCTAAATTAATAGAGAGGAGACATGAGAGAATACAAAAAACTCAATAAAATAAATGCTAGAAAAAAGAGAGAAAAGGAGAAAAAACATGTATGCAAAAATATAAAGTAATATGATGGAAATAAATAAATTTAAGTGTAACAGTGCTTGTAATAAATATAAATGAGTTAAACTTACCAATTAAAAAAACCAAGGGCCACAAAGTCTCCAACATCACAGACCCCAGCTGCAAGAGACACCAATCTCCAAAGCCCCTTGGATATGGAGCTGCAGCACAGGTCCACAGTCGGTGTCCCATGCACCACTAGATCTGGTGTGCTATAGCACACTCCAGCATGCCTCTCCAGTCAGCAATTCCATGCCCCCTCTCCCTTGCAAGTGAAAATCTTTCCTTACCAAAGCCAGTCCCTAAAGTCTAGAAGAGGTAACTGCTC